GAGGTTTTTTCATGAAATTTTGAAAAGACCCACCCTCTACACTTAAAAGAAGAAAAAAAAAAAAAAAAAAAAAAAAAAAAAAAAAAAAGCACATGCACAACCCTGTACCCTCTCCCGAGATGGAACGCCTATTAAACGTGTGCGAGAGCGTGCACAAGCCCTTTTCTCCTCTTGCACACTCTGTTTACAAGTTACTGTTTGCATCGCTCAAACAAGCTTACTTTTCAAAAGAAGATTTGCACTTTCTCCCCTATGTCAGACTCAATACTGGTGAGAGAAAATGGGGACGAGCACATAGGACGGCCTTATGTAAACATATCACCAGAATGACTGACACTTAGGAGGACCACTTATTTAGATGATCCACGCAGAAAAAGAACATCCTCCACTATACCTTTAAGAAGAAAAGAAAAATGCTTTCAAATGGCATGAGATTTATCACCAAAGGTCTAGCAAGAAATTTACATTATTAATTTAACTTAATTAAAATTTGATTATTTATTTTTCCTTAGGCTTAAACTTGTTGGCTTTTTTAAATTAAAGATACATAAATGTTGTCATTTCTAGGGGTGAAAAAAACACTTTTTTTTTAGATATAGAATAAATATCAAACTGCATTTTTATTAAATGTCAATTCCGTTCTTAATTTAATTTAGTTTTTTAGTAATCTTTATATAGCACTACTAGAATAACAAGTTGTTCAAGATTCCTTTCATAAAACAAACAGGATCATGGTAAACATTAATAAAACATACATCAAGTCAGATAGAAATTTTTTTAAAATAGCTTAAGGTAACAAAACAACTATCCATTAAAAGATGACGTACAGATGCCAAATATTTCACAATTTGGTCTTCAAGCACACTTTGGGGGATTTTAAAAGCACCTGATCGACTGACTTAGAAATTGAGGTGATATGTACATTTGATGCAGTTCATGGATGAAGGACTAAAGAAGGTAAAACTGCTTCCTAAAATAAACTGGCAACCAGAGGAAGGAGAGCAGAACTGGAGATCTACCTTTTCTCTTGTGTGTGTTTAAAGCCAAGCCCAACTATTTATCACTTGCTGTAAGCGACCAACAACAGATAGACGCTCGATTCAAATGCCTCATATTGTAGCTTCTAGCTCCTTTTCCTATGAGTTACAGAATGCTTCGGTGAATCTAAACAAGTTTCAGCATTTTTTTACACACTGAACACACAGATGAATGACACACATCAATTTGGGACTACAGCCTTCAAGAAAAGACCTACAAAAAACCAAAGTATGAAGGTGTTTACATTAGCATTTGTCACATACGGTCTACGTAAGTGGGCTGTGCCTATTTGTCCTGATATGCAAAGGACCATGGGCAACCATATAGCACCATGCAGCTAAATGGATGGGAGCTAGGAAGCATTCTGCTCACTGTTCCTAGCTCCTTCCTAACTGCCAGCACTATTCGGATAGCATTTATTATGGTGACGCAGTGTCTTACAGATTTGAGATAATCAGATTGAGCCTGAAAAACTAGAGATTCTTCTGGTGCAGAAATGGAGCGTCATGGAGTTAATAAACCATATCTGATAATATTGGCTTCATTCATGCCCATCTCCTCCATCTAGAATAGCCCCTAATTAAAGATTTATTTGATGCATTGCATTTAGTGCTGCTGATTTTTTTTCTCCTCAGATTTTCTGTAATCTAAAAACTAAAATTCTAACAGGACCACATTAAACACCAAGAGATTCATTTATATGAAGCATTTGGGCAACACTGTACACAACACTGTAATTGGATTTTTTTCCCCCCCTTTTGTTATGTGTGGTTTAAGATTTGCAGTGCTTGTTCTTGTATTTTAAAAACCTGCATCATTTACTGCCAAAGGGAACTGAACTCACCAAACCGTTGACGTCCATACCGGCCTCCAGCAGGGTCTGGATGGTGCTGTGGTGTCCGTTTCGTGCAGCCAGGTGTAGCGGAGTGTGGAGGCGTGTGTGGCTCGTCATGAGGTTTGGGTGAGCATTCACCAACATTTGCACCACCTGAACACAAAACCAACATTGCATTGTGATGCGGATCAACACAGTATTCAAAATACAAGGAGACGGTGTTCTCTCTGTCTTTTGCCCAAAGGTTCCTGGCTCACACCCTTTTTTATTTAGCCGTCTTTCTTGGACTCAGCCACCGAATAAAATCGAGCAGTTTATTTCTCTTTCTCATAGAAAGTACCCCTGGCTAAGTTAGGAAATCTAACGCTACTTTATGGTCAAGGAACTTATTTAATTTAATCTTAATTAAGATCAGGTGCCTGAAACACTGACCAGCAGGGGAGGATCTAAGATTCTAGGAGATCAGGTGCTTAGCCCTGAGGGTGAAGATGAGAGTGTAGACTTTCTGGTAAATACCGCTGTAATATAAAATATTACAGATTACTGGATTCAATTATTTTTTAGTATACTACATGCTATCACACATAACAATCCCCCCTCCATAACATGGGAAGAAATTAATTTACCTGCAAGTCTTTAACTGTGTCTATTCCTCTCTTCATTAACAACAAATCCTGTGATTTTGGCAGCATTTGTTCGTTATTTACCAAAGTTATGAAGAGGGGACCATATATTCTAGCTGCCTGAAATAATCCATCCCCCTCCATAACACGGGATTAAATTAATTTACCTGCAAGTCCTTAACTGTCCTATCTTCATCAACAAAAAACCTTGTAGATGTGGTGACATTTGATCATTATTTGCCAGAGTTATGAGAGGGAAATCAAATATTTTGGCCACCTGATTTTGGATTTCAAAATATAAAATAAATGTTTCAAAAATGATATAGAAAAATAATGAGAGTTTCAAAATTCATAGGGTTGGTTTGTTTTTTCCCCATGTTATCCAGTGTTTTTTTTTTTTTATTCAACTTTTTTTGGAATATTTTTAAATTGTTAGATAAACAATTAAACAGAAAATTTATTTCATACAGATCATCAAAAGGGGAACGGATGATATCAAGTGGCTAAAATACATGATTTCCCTCTCATAACTCTGGCAAATATTGATCAAATGTCACCATTTCTACAGGGTTTGCCGTTGATGAAGACAGGAATAAACACAGTTAAATACTTGCAGGTGAATTCATTTCTTCCCATGTTATGGAGCGGGAACACAGCTAAAATATTAATTCTCTCCTCCTCCTATTATTTCCCTCTTTGGGAAATAAAGAGCAACTTTTTCCAAATTCTCTAAAATTGTTATGTCAGATACTAGAAATGTCCTTAATCCAGTAATCTGTCATATTTTAGAACGGGTTTTACCAGGAAGTCTACACCCTCATCTTTTCAGGAATTTTTGTGCCCTGCTATCAGCCAGTTCCCATCCAAAAATGAAAAATTATTAATACACACTACGTGTTTGAAAACTGTGTTTGGTGACTGACTTTAATTTTTCAGGCTTAAGTACCAGAAGTTGGAAAAAGGCCAATTCTCTTGGCATTTAAAAAACAAAACACAAAACAGCTTAAAAAGGACCTTGTCTATTTATTTATTTTACCATTTTGTAAACAACAGCTGCTGATTAAACTGGATATTATAACCTTGACATGATTATAGGAGTTGTTTTTGCGAAAAATCGATCAGAAGCGCCGTGAAAAAGGTTCCATCCGCCATTTTCGTGCTCCCAACACAAGGGAAACAGAATTTCATACAACACCGGGACAAAGAATGTCTGGAAGTCAGTCAGTGCTCCACATACCTGGGACATTATTCTGTTTAGCTGCAGCTAGTGGTGACAACTTATTCTTCTGCACGGTAATGCTACAGGTGCTTTCCTGCTCATGCTGCCACGATCTGGTGAATTGCAGTAGTGCACATTTTACTCAGATCAGCTCACAAGCGAAATCCGTGGCTCTTGGGGAAACATCTGGGGCGGCAGCCCAAGTAGACGCCCCCTAGATCCGCCACTGCTGACCAGAAACTCTCCGATCCACTGTAATGCTGAGTAATACTGTAATACTGTAGCTAAAGAAAGGCCTCTTATCCTGTTTTTAACAGATCTTCCCCTTTAACTGCCATCAACTCGTAGCTCAATAACAATCATGTCGCTAGCAGATACCTTAGTCTACAGTATTTTTAAATATATATTTAAATAAAATAGAAAAAAAACAGTCGGCTGCACTGTTTCTACAGGTTTCATACGAGGTTGCTTATTAAGACACTAGAGAAAGTATATCTACACCTACAGTTATAAGTGCATTTTCCCATATCTTTGGTTTGTTTTATGAGAATAAGACAGAGGCTATAGATAGTCTTATTAGAACTTTAACAATAAATGCATGAAAAGATTTTTCCAGCAGAAGCAATCATTTTCTATTTTTAATAAAAAAAGAAATTCAAATACTGTTTTATGCATTTCTCAGTGAAAGGCTTTAGGTCTTCAGGGAGGAAAATAAACTGTAAAGATCAACATCAAAAACTTTACTGTCTGAAAACAGATGAACAGAGTCCAGATAAACAGATGGGTGTGTAAGTTATATCAGATCACTTAGATCCACTGAAGCATGATTCTTTCAGGGGAGAGAAAAGATGAGACATTTTCTTGCATCGTTGGTGCAAACACATGAAACTCTGATGTAGTTCTGCTGGACTGTTCTTCAAATATAATCTCAATCAGCTTCAGAATTATAATCCCTGAGGATGTTTAATCATGTTTTTGATAACATAACAATTTCACATTTAAACATGTTTTTAGATGAGTTTTTTAAGCAGTCTAAGTTACATCTTCCTTCAGCGGTAAGCTCCCCCTTCAGGGAGCTCCCTTCATTATAATGCAGAAAGAGAACTACAACGTTGCCTTCATAAATTATTCATCTGCACTCAGATAAACCTGAGTGGCTTGACTGCAATTACAGTAACCTTAACACAGAATGTGGCTGCGTTAGAGCATCAGGAAACAATCACGGTATGAAACACTTTTTTCTTCATCGATGTGCTGCTAAAAAAAACCTTTATAATGTGATGGACTGCCCACCTTTTCTAGGTGTACCCCAGTTTTACTCAATGTTTGCAGACTGGTACCAGTGTATACACGTATGGTTCTGTACACTGGGAAAAGGCGGCATCTTTTTTAGAGACATTTAATTTTTACTGACCTGCAGGCGCCCATAAAGTGCTGCCAGGTCCAGAGGGGTTTCCTGCCGATTGTTTCTCATTGTTGGATCGGTCAGCTCCTGAAGAAGCACTGAAACCACCTCGGTGTGTCCGTACTGCGCTGCACAGTGGAGCGGTGTCTCCCTCTCATGGTTCTGCAGAAGAGAAGGAAAAGTTTGAAAAGGAGGCAGCGATGGTTATAGGAGTTCTGGGAGCAATGACGGGTGAAAAGGGAGGAATAGAAGTATATGGAGCGGATTCAGGGGTGAGGAAGAAAAGGTCATGGTAGAAACGGACTGTTGGAGGATTAATGGAGCAGGAGACAAGGTTGGAGAGAAAAGGTGGTGTTGGTTTGAGGGGAGCAGCGTAGAATATAGATACTGTTCTTGAAACTGAGGAAAACCATTTAACAGGAAAGAACACAGAGGATGAAAAATTATTTGTTTTATCTGAGCTCTTTTTGACATCAGGGATTTCAGAGCGCCGGCCTGGAATAACCTCAGTTTATATGAAAGCTTTCAAACCCATCTGGATTATTACAGGGCTCCTAAATGAAAATATGTAGCTCACGTTTGGATAAAGTTTACTTTCCTTCAGAGCTGCAGGGCAAATTTGTCTCAGATAGCTTATTTCAGTCAAATCAGCAGGACAGCTGAATTATAAAATCCTTAATTATTTAAAAATCTTCTCAAACCTTTAAATAATTCTTCACTAATTACAAAAAATGTTGGTTATTTTCCTACTGCAAAAAAGTAAAACCTGCAAAAAAATTTTATGAATTGTAGAAACACAAAGACAGCTTATTTGTAATTACCATGGCAACCCATCATCAGTTACAAATCAAGAATAGATAACTTCCTTCTTATGCTTAAATAGAGCTCAGTTAGAGACTGTGCATTTTAAAGGTCATGGACTGTCTGGGAATGTCTGACCATGTCTTCACTCTCCAAAGGGCCTCTAACAACCACATTGCTGATGGTCCCTTAGGTCCTGCTGCACTCTATTAAACGTCCAGTTAAACAAGGTTATTTTACTCCCGTTCTAAACACTTTAATCTAGTAAAACCCCAAAAAAACAAAGCTATTAAGTTAGTATGGTTCTGTACTATGCCTACATCTCAAGTATATTATTTTTATTGTCTCTCTATTGTTTCTTTTCTGTGTGGAAATGCAACAAAAACTGATCTGAGGCATGGTTATGTTTATTAGCTCTCCCAAAAAGGTAATTTTTTATATAGTACTAGTTTGTTTGTTGGTTATGAAGGAAAGCTTTGAACAGAATGAATTGAAACTCTACTGCAGGTGCCTCTTAATCAAATTTAGAACCCATTCAATTTTGTTGGTGATCCTTTTTTAGGAATATTTAAAGGATCCCTTAACACTGCGATAGGAAATAACCTGCCTTAGGGAGGTCCGTGCTTTAAAGATGCTTTCTAATTAAAAGTTTGCATCATATTCTACAAGCTAGATATTTTATTTGAAATACTGAAATATTAAGGGGTTTATTTTATCCACTTTTGACCTGTTAGAGATGTATGAAATATGTGGACAAACCACATTGAGGGGCAGGCAAAAAAACAGCATTAAGGCTTATAAACAAGCTCTAAAAATAGAAAAGTGCATTTTATCATTGCTAACCTACAAAAAGTGTGAAAATACAGACGATTGGAATGTTTAATCATAGGAATATGGACAGTAAGATTAATTTAGACAATTAGAGAGTAATGTTAAGAAATACAAATGATATTCTGATAAGGTCCCTGTAAAGAATAGCACCTTCACCATGAGGAACGTCAGTAATCATCTGTAGTCAATGTCTATACATATGCTCTACAAGAATATAAATAATCTAGGAAATAAGCACACAGACTATAAATATGTCCCAGGAAGCACTGGAACAAGAATGAAGCCATTGTCAGGGTTGCCACTGACCCATTTGTCCCCACAGCCTTAAATGGACAATAAAACTTTGCAGTCTGATCCGCTGTGTCTTAGGCGCGCACACCGCTTGAGATTGGAAAAATGTGATTTCCCAGAAAGAACGAAGAATGACACAGAGATGAGCTCAGACTCGGTCTGATAGGACCAGGAGATGAAGCAGAAGAGGAGAGGAGTTAAAGAAAGTAAAGGAGGAATCCTCCCTATGTGCTCACAGAGTGGGCTATACATTTCCATTACATGCAGGCTGACAGCCTCTCGAAATCATCTAGCATCCAGTTCATTGCTGCAGATTGGCTGCTGAGCAGGAATCCCATCAACAAGCATGGTGTAAACAAACAAATAGGTTTCCTTTTGGCTACAATTGGGTCTGACAAAGTTAATACTGACAAATAAAAACAGAATAAACGGTCAGCAAGGAAAACAAAACACTACTCAGAAGATGACGGATGTAAGGATGAAAGAACAGAATATGTTGTATTTTCCTTATGAAAATGTCCAAATCTGTGCTTTAACAGTTAGTCAGCACAGCAACATGTATATCCAACAGAAACTGAACCAGAGCAGGTGGAGTGCAGAGACCATTTGTTTGAACACACTCTGCAGTAATGCTGATGGACGGATATGCAGGATGAGCTCCGTCTCTGTAACTTCATCTCATAATCCTTCGAGCTCAGTGTTTGCAGTCTTACACAGAACCAGTTGCAGAATGAGAGGATGAGAGAAATTAGGATAATAACTTCAAACTTTTTTCCCTCTTAAAACATTTAAGGATTAGGATGAAATAATGTCAGAAAAACTGGTAAAATCTGCAATGATTAAAACGCTAAAGTTAATAAACAAAAACGTATTCACCTGAGGGTGGAAGACCTACAGTAATGTAAAACTTTCAATTTGACCCTAAATGAAAAGGTCTGTCACTGCTGGGATCCAGATGTTTCTAGCAATATATATAAATAATATATAAAACTATAGTTTAATATATTATAGACAACAAAGACCACCCAGCTGAGAAAAAGTCTGAAAAATTACATTTATGAAATAAAATAAGAAAAAAAAGCAGAAATGAAATAACAGAATTAAAGTGCTTTGAACGAGTACATCTGTTCTCTGATCTTTTACCCTTGTTGGCTCCAAATTTTTCAAATCAAGCAAATGGTAAAGTCAGAGTTAAATCCTATAGAAAAACTGAGGGATAATATGAGAACATAAATGCATACGGTACCCTGGACACTAGCGGATCTAGACAGATTATGTAAATACTCTGATGTCCTACTGGCCAAAGTGAGATGGATAAAGCTTTAACTGCAGAGATGCCAAAAGGCAAAGAGCATTGAATTAGAGCTTAAATAATAAAAGCGGAATTGAATTCAATATTAAAAACTCATTGGGGTAAAACCCCTTAAAAGAACACAAAAATCTCAGGTTGCCATTAATTTAAACCACTAAGGAGTTGAAACTAATTCTTCTCTGGATGTCAAGCTGTTTTACTTTTAATACTGACCTTCCTGCAGAGATAAACTCAGCTCTGGTTTTAATTATGCAAAGTAAATTCCAACCACTTTTTTTATTAGTGTTCCTACATAACACCTCAATTAAACCCCCCTGAAACACCCAATATGCCCTCATGTTGCAATAATCACTTAGGGTGGGACTTTGTTTGGATTCACGCAGAGATGAACAAGTTCTCATTAGCCGAACTTTAATTAGAAAACCCACTGCTGTCGGAGCCAGGCTGAAACCATATGACTGCCGCCTCTTTTTCTTAAACAGATTGCTCATAAGAAAACATCCAACAGCTCAGTGTGACTGTGTTCTTTGGCAGCCATCGCCATGGCAGAGGCCTTGTTAGGAAAGGACTTTCCCAGGGTGGTTTCTCCCAGCAGTAGCATGTGTTAGCAGAGTTCACATGTTGATCATCAGGAAACACATGGCCTCATTTTACTCTTTAGTGCATGATGGTGTATAAAGTTGCTAAGAATGTAAGGGCACTGCATACAAGGATTTATCAGTATAAAAAACTTAAAAGGTAACTATGAAATGAATAGATTAAGAGTTTATTAAACTTGGTGGGAAATGTAGCTTCAAAGGAAATCAAGAATACAAATGGACCTCCACAAGTTCACTACGTCTTTGTGTTTAACTTTAAGATACATAAAGGTTTCCTGGGCGCTTTTGTGTCTGGTGCTTTGGGTACCCCAGCGCTTCCCCGGTGCTCTGGGGAGGGCGCCTCTTCGGCTCTTCACAACCACTATTGAGCATTTTTCCTTTGGATAAACTTTATATGCACAAGTGCACTCTCACGAACAACTACAGGTGCTTGTTTCCAGGTACTTAGAGATTCACTTCAATACAGAAAGCCCATATTCTTATCTTCAGCTACCCCAGTATACATGTCAGATTAAATACTACTTATACTTCAGCGATAGTATCAAGGTGTTACTTTCTTGTATATCTTGTACCATGTCCGTTGGTTGAGTTGTTCTTTTTACATCTCTTTGCAGGGGATGAAGCAGACTGAAAATGTTTGTCATCTCCCTTTTATCTCCTCTTTCTTTCATCTTTTCTTGCTTTTTTTCTGTTTTTCCTTTCCTGTTGCAGTGTCCATATAATCTGTAATACTCCCTGCATAATTATGATAAAGCAATTTAATTGCATAAATCAAGCGGAACACTATAGCGATAGCCGTACTGCTCCACTTGTAAAAGTCTGTTGGGCTCTTTTTGGCATCAAGACAATTATTCTTATTGCCACATTGCCAGACAGGACATTTGATCAAACAGTTATATGCATTAGATCCTCATGGTAGTGTATCATCATCCACAGTAAGGCATTTTAATATTTCTAGAAAAGTGACATAAAAAGTCAGATCAATTTTTGATTAATTTGATTAAAACTATTTAAAATCTCTTTTATTTTAGCATGAAGGACTTTCCATTTTTTTCAACTGATTATGTTTTCCAACTTGAACCGACCAAAGGTCAGTTGACTATAACTATAGCTACTATGAAAGGGGACTTTTTAAGGTTTACAACATATAAAAGTTGAGTCCAGCCGATAGTTTGTTTAAGCTTTCCAGAAAAAAAAAAATTATTTTAGGAGCAGAACTTTGTAGAAAAACACACATTTACATGTAAACCAACATTGCATGGAAGAAAGAGATATGCAGAGAACAGAATATCACTAGTTGGTGAGGAAATTATCTGATTACTTAATGCATGAAACCCAACTGTGCTGTAACACTCTTTTGTACTGAGACTGTAACAGAGTGAAGCACATGCAAAGTGAATCATTTCCAGCATTAGTGAGTTCAGAGAAAGATTAGATGCTGCTTCTTAGGAAATTTTTTGCAACACACAATTTAGTTGAGCTGCAATATAGCAGGAGAAGAGAACAAACTTTCTCAGTTTTCTCCTTTTAAGAGTTCATCTGTTATAAAACACAATGGATCTGCTGTTTGTAGATCAAGAGGAAATCAGACAATAAGTAAAGAAGCTTTGCTCTCTGGGTAATGAACAGATATGGGTGCTTCAGGTTTTACTGTCGCTTCTAATAAGGCAAATTACAGAAGTTAAACGCTGAAGAGCTTCAAGTGTTTTCCTGTTTAACAACTTGTTCAAACTGTAAAACACTGTTTTATTTTAATAACTCACAATCCATTCTGTGAGTTATTAAAAATCACCTCACAGCAGTAAGGCAATGTATATTTTTTAAAAATATCTGTTTAAAACATACATAATTAAAATGTTTTCCATCAAGGTTACATGAAAGACGTGACAGATTCTGGTCTGGTTTTCTTCCACCGCAGCTTTAAGACGTACACTTTTAAAAACACATGAGATCACTTCAAAATACGACGAAAAAAATATCTTGAGGGAAAAAAGAAACATTGCACTCAAGGCTTGAATGAGTGAGTCAGCTGGAAAAAAAAAAAATATATATATATATATATCACAACAAGAAACCTGTCAGTCTTCAAAACATCCACTTGGCCTCTACAGGCAGAGTGCAAGCCTGCAGTAAACAAGCAATCCGTCACCATCAGCCACTGCCTCATGAATGCACATACATAGAGTCGGTGTAAAGCTAATCTCATCCTCTAGTCAGGCAACTAGGCGCCACCTCTTACTCTCACATGCTCTGGCTGCGATAAACACAAACAAGCTGTCAGTGGAAACTACTGGGACCAATTAGGTAATAAGCAATGAATTGGAACTGGTCTACCACTAACTCATAACAACCTCCAATAATTGTCTATTGGTCTAGGAGTGAAATTAACCCCCTCTGTCCCCACTTTCTCTCCCTTCCAAGTGATTATTAGACCTATGTCAGTCAGATAATTAATAATGTAAGACAGATAAAAAACTAAAACAAAAAGATCATTTCAGTTTAATATCTGGGCCCTTATGTCTGAATTATAAATAGGTTAATTCTCTGGCAGGGATTTGCAATCTTTAATTCTCTGTGACGGATGAGTAAAAACGACAAAAGGACCCTGATTAATGAGCACACGACAGATTGAGAAAGAAATAAACACCTTTGGTGTCCTCAAAAACGAACCCCTTTCTAAATCTCAGCTAAATACAATCATTTTCTAACAACAATAACAGCTACAGTAAGATTCCTATAAACACGAAAAGTGAAATCAGTTTCATGATTTTCCTTCCTTCCTTCCTTCCTTCCTTCCTTCCTTCCTTCCTTCCTTCCTTCCTTCCTTCCTTCCTTCCTTCCTTCCTTCGGTATATTTTCTTCCTATAGACACTTTGAGTGTTGTAGTTTACTTCCAGAACTTTTGCGAATGCGCACAACGGTGGAGGGCAAAACCTTTGTTTTACTAGCCGAAAACGGTCGCACTGCTGCAGGACGACATTTTTATTAACAAGTTGAAACCAGGGCATTAATTTGGATCATCTTTCTTCAGAGGAGCACAAATGGTAAACTGCAAAGTTACCTGTGTTTACCATAAAGCTTCCAGACCCATTTCAAATAGCTGAAGGTCTGTCTGTTAATTGGCAGTACTCAAAATTGGCCGCCTATTCAGTATGTGGATATTTACAATTATCTCATTAACACACCAGGACTTTATACAGCAGAGGCAATAAAGTCATCCAAGTCATTAGAAGGATATAACTTCTTCATGTCTGGACATGTGGGGCTAATATTTTATTATAGCGATGATTGCATGAACCCAGTGTGCTTCTTGAAGTGTGCCATCACAGAAGATGGCCAACAAGAAAGGGTGTCACTAGTTGTGGGTCTGGACTAAATAAAAGGCATATATGTGGTGTCTGCCCACTACATATGCAAAGCAGGGTAAGATGATTTGATATTTATATAAATCTATGTGAGATTAGATGCAAGCCATGTATTTTGGTATTTCAGTTATTTATACAAATATTAGTCTGTAATATAAAACTTCTGCCTAATGGGTAGACATAAAAAAATTTATAAATCGTGTGTAAATTAAAGATTTACCGCATTAAATGGGTAACTGGACCTCTTAAAACAATACGCTGCGCTAGCATTTTTGCCCTCCAGTAGCAAACTGGAGGGGTGGGGTCTTACGCATGTGACATCACATTTCACATGCTTGTTAGAAAGTTGCAACACTTTAGAGTAGCCTTTTTTAAATTATGTTTTATTTGTAGAGTTTTTACAGAAAAAAAAGGCGGGAAATGTAATGGAAGGAAAGAAGAAGCAAAGCAAGAACCAAGGGCATTATTTTTAAACAATGGAAATAGGGAATTAAGTTTAGGAAAATGTTTTTTTTCCCAAAACTAAAAATACTAGATTATGTCAAATCCATGATATTTTTAGAAATTATTCACCAACAATATTTAAAAAACACCATTTAACAAGTTAACATTAGAAGGCATAGATGCATAGAGGTCATAATGTCTGCACAGCATCCTGTGAATCAGCAGCTTTCACTTAATGTGGTTCATCTACAGTCGCTCTATCAGCGCTTTGAACTACTGAGTAGGTTAAAAAAGGAAATTACCCATGTTCGCTCGCTGACAAATCTCTTCATTTCAGAGGCAACATTTCTCACAGCAAACAATTAGACCAACACCTCTCAGAGTAAAACACGTTGGCTAATGGTGACAGAGGAAAACAGGGTTATTAGTTAGGGTAAATAACCCTCCAATAACCTACAGGGTCCATTACTGCTTTGCACTGTCATCACATACACATCCATGGAATGTTTTCCACAACGGTTCTGATTCAGTGCAACTTCCCGCATCACTGATCCGTGCAGTCGTCAATATGCTGCAAGCGAACACAGACAGGAAGAGCGTGAGGGAAATAGAGGAAGGTCGTTTTTACAGATAAGGAACGACAGCAGCGGCAGGCTGAACGCTCCCAGCAGCCTGTCAGAGAGGGATCACTGGAAGCTAGAAGGGATCAGCTTGCTTGGACAGAGGCCACGATAATAGAACCTGCAGCTGCATCAGTTTGCAGGGTCTAAGAAACGCAGTGGAGGAGCTTTATCTGGAAGGATAACATTTTCCTTTTTCCTAAAGCAAGGGCAGAGAAATGGTTTGGAGCGCAGCATGATAAAGGGGCGAATGTGCAGCTACATTTGCAAGACAAGGATTTACACCCAACAGGAACTTCATGTTTAAACTGCATGTGTTCAGGATAAAAATCAGAGAACCTCAGATTCCAAACGATTCAACTTTTAAACATAAACCTGTAATCATCTAAGCCCCAAACTGAGGATAGATTCCTATTTGTACTCCTCAGCAGGGTGGATCTGAATATGTTGCCTTTCAGGGATTTTCTCAGAGGATGTCGATGGGATTACTGGGATTACCTGCTGGTTGACAAGGCAGTGTGAAGGGCCGTGGTGGATGAGGATACGGACAATGTCCACGTCTCCCCGCCATGCGGCGAGATGCAGCGGGAAGCAGCCTTTGCTGTCAGCCAGGCTGGTGGATGCTTCATACTGGAGTAGCTTCAGCACCACATCCCTGAGGGCAGATAGATAATTAACAGATAGAACATAGATAAAGCCCAAATATCCTTTCCTTGTCCACCTGTACACATTCAGATTTTCTTATTTCTTTGTACCAGAACCCTTCTCTATTCATTTCTGTGTGGCAATTTTTTTTTAAACCCAGATTTTTACTATTAATGGAAGAGAAAGAGGTTTGTCTATGAAGTTTGGAAACTTTTCTTCCCCAACTATCAGCTGCATATCGGGTTAAAGGCAGAGGTAAATTTCTCCAGTTTGAGATCAATAAAGTTCAATTATTATTATATTGTGGCCAAACTATAGGGAAAATGTTAACATTTAATAATGATCACCTTACCTTAAAGATGTTTATTGTTTAACAAAACTTACATTTGAAACAAATGACAGTTTTAGCAGTAATATAAGCGGTATAAGGCATGCTCTTCATTACAGCTGCCGCCCGTTTCCATGGTTACTACTACTCCTAGTATAACAGTGGGAAATGTAGTGCTTTGCTAAAGTATTCATGTCCTTTTTTCATATTCTGACACTTTACAACCACATGCTTCAAAGAGTTTATTACTATCAGATGGACCAACATATTATTGCATAATGGTAGGAAAATGGTACATGTTGTCTTTTAGATTTGAGAGAGCATGCAGCAGATAAACTTCAATCATAAGTGTTGTTGTTTTTAAATTTTTGTAATAGAAAATAAATGTACACTCAGTTTCTTTTTAGGTTTTTTTTTTTTTTTTTTTTTTTTTTTTTTTTACAACATGTAAGAAATATAATACTTAAAGGTATAGTGGAGGATTTTTAGAGAAAATCTTTATTGTCATCTGGACCTTTTTATCAAACAAACTAAAACTATTCAGCTCCCCGTTATTTATACACACCCTTAATAACTGTACGGTTTTATAATTTTCACTCACATCCTAAAAGACCCACCCTTAACCAATCTGGTCTTTGACTATGGAGCCATTAAAATAATACTAATAGATAACTAATCTAGATCTTAAAAAAAAAAAAAAGAAACACACCATTCTCATTGTAGTTTGATCCCTAAACTTAACTAGCTGGTTGGAAGTACTGCTGTCTGCCATTGTGTTTCATATTAATAACATTTGGGCTGCATTTGTTACCATCATCCTTAGAGGAAAGAGGAAATTCTGTGGAGCTTCATTAGCATTGAAAATGTCAAGAGGGAGACAAAAGGGCAAGACCTTTCCCAGGAGCTGCTTGGTTCATTTTAATGTTATGTCATAGTTTTGATTTTTGCTATTAAGCTTTAAGATCTACTAAAAGCTAATAAAAGGATCTGAAGTTGTAAAGATCTATCTGAGGACAGCTACTTTTATTTCAAAGTCTGTCGTGACTGAAACTCACTTTCAAGACTAAATGTTGAAACATTGCTGCAACATAAGTTTCAGCAGGTCTCTAGTTTCGCTTCCACTCCTGTTCCTCACCTGATCTACAGAAGGAAATCCAGATACTTGCCCCCAAACACAGGATTAACTCCTTGCTTCTATAATCGGCACAAGTGGACGACTAAACTGTGTTTTATTAGGGGCCCCAAAAACAACCCAACTCCACAGGAGAAAATATAAACCCTATTTAAACGAATAAATTAACAGCCAGGCTCGGACTGGTAATCTGTGATACTGGGCATTTGCCCGGTGGGCCGGTCCTAATTTCAGCGTGTGAGGGCCGGCCCTCCTCAAATCATACTGGCCCTAACACTTACTCACCGGCCGAAGCTCCTACCTGTGACAGTAATTAACTCAAGGAGCTCAAGAAGTAATACAATGTTAACTACCTAAATGATGTATGCAGTATATATAGACCTTCCTTGTCATGCACATCCTAGTGACTGTTGGCATATGGTGTAATTTTCTATTTTTTCAAACTGAAAAATCCTCGCGACAAACTATAATAAAACTAAAATGCTTTCTTTAAACCAAACTACAACTTTCCTTTTATATTTGGTGAATTTATGATTTATGCAAAAACATGTTGCGGTGCATGATGGAGTTTTGCATGTAAAGGCTAACGTTTCCCAGCTTACGTAAATTGTTGCCAGGTTGGGATGTTTCCCAATCTGGCAGTTTAGGATGGTAAAAAAAATTTTTCTTCAGATTTATGGTGTAAAAGATAAATAGACTGGTGTTTAAATTAGGCGAGATTTCATATATCCAGGCGGTTTATTAAAATTTTTTGGGCTGGAAAACGTGAGTCAGTGACGGCGCTGTATGTGTGAGTCTGTCTGGCTGGCTTCGTGCATGTGTGGACGTTACGCAGCAGCAGTCACTGTTGCGTCCGTGTTAATAACCAAAGCCAGTAAAACCACATCATAGAAGTCTTGGTGATAGTTGTCGTGTGATGCTTGCAGATAGATCTCTTAATCCACAACGTGTATTTGTAAGTCGTTCCCACACTGAGTCTGTAAACAGCTATATTTATAATTGCTAAATGCTAGAATAATATGAGTTTTAATATGAAATTAATAGATTTCTTTTCTGTAAGGTTTTCATATAACACTTGGACTGGTGACATAATCTCTTCAGATCAATGCAAAGGAAACGTTCTTACCTGTGTCCGTTGAGTGAAGCATGGTGTAAAGGTGTATATCCTGAGCTGTCTGTGCAGTTCACGTTCACGCCCTTCCACATGCTGCAGGATACAGACATACATCACAATTAATAAAGATTTGCAGACAAAGCAGAGGTAGACAGATTAAGGTCTTTAATATATGCAAGGGAGATGCAAACTACAGCTTCCAAGTTAATTATTTATGTAAAATATTCCAGATTCTTCCAAGCTTAACTTTCTAAAGATCTCACTCAGTTTTTATTGGTCACTCATATTGAACAAGGAAGGAAGGAGAAAAAAACTCAGAAGGAAAGAAGGAATGAGGGGATGCTGGAGGGAGAAAATAATATTGTCTGGAAATACAAACCCTTCATATTTTTCTTTTTATGTTTATTCATCCAGATTTAGCAAAATATTGAAATAATTTTCTATATTTTTTCCATGAGTTGAAACTGTAAATGTATATGAATGGATGAATTAAAAAGTCACAGGAAAAAGCAAAGTGTAGACTAAAAGACATAAACCAATATCTGCAAAATGATCAAATATTATTAAAAATACATGAATCAAATGAAACTAAAACATAATTTCTTTGTGTAAAGAAAAAAAAACTTCTACATGAGATTTTATTTTTCCTTTTTGGTACAAAGCAATAACCTTATAACCCTCCCTCCACACACACACAAAATAAGCTTAAAGTTATATTCAATCTATGGATGTAATAAACACACTGAGACGTACTTGTGTCATGATAAATGGTTGAAGGAGCCACAATAGTAAGGCAGGAGGTGCTGTAATCCAAATTGTAATAAAGTAGGTCTGAATAAATTTAGAATAAGTCTAAATAAAGTGAGTCTGTGGTAAAACTCAAAGCCTGAAACTGCATGGAGGACAATCACAAACGAGGAGCAGCTGTGAGGCAATCAGAACACAGGTGTGCAACAGGAAGTCAAGCTACAAACCAGAGGTGGAGAATTCGTATTTCAAAATAAAATACAATCTCCTTTCAGAGAGAGAGCTTTTAGGAAGGAGAAATAAAAACTACTTGGAGCTCAAACTAAATAAAGAAAACGTTACTGACAAGCTTTAAATATGTTTCCTCTGGTATTTTCCTTTCTTTGGTGGTGAGCTCCAAGCCCTGATTCCATCACCCTAATCTTTAGCTCCTCAAATCAGATCCAAAACTTGACTCCGGATCAGTCCAAAATGTTCCACTCAGAAGCTGGGTGAATTAATAAATTACTTTAAACTCAGATCTGCCAGGATATAAGCTAATTTAGCTAAACTGCATTTGAGTTTTTCAGCTGACAAAATCCAACTTCTGAGGACAAATCAAAGCACCATTAGGACTGATTGCTGCTCAGCAGCCTGCTGAGACAATACATGTCTACATTTATAAACTCATAGTAAAATAAGTGCTGTAAAATAACCACTGCTTAAAGTTCCTGAGTTTCTGCAGAAAAAAACAAATTATTTTTATTTTTCTGCAAAGATAATTTAATCTGTGAAAATGCAGTTTCATCCCTATCTCTTTCTTGACACTTTACCCCATAAAGCATCTCTTCAACATGCTCTCATGAGCTCATTTAACAATTACTGACACCACTGAGCTGCTCTAGTATTGGCTGTGAAACAGCAGAAACTGACAAACCGTTTTGAAGGAGGTCATTAAATCAATTTGAAACTACAAAAAAAAGAGAGAGAATCAGTAGTTCTGGTTTTATTTCACTTATGTTTTCTGTGTATATCTGTGTCCTTTTATTTGGCTGCTGAAACATTGAAATCTTCCTAAAGAGTGACCAAAAAAAATTTTCTCCCAGGGAGCTCAATAAAATACAATTTCTTTTGTTTTTCTTTTTGGTTTAGCTTAGACTCGCTGCATTCAAATACAAAAAATATGCCAGTTAGACGTCAATAATGAGTAAAAGCCTATTTGGATTAATATTAGGGGGGAGAAGGATTCAGTAGTCTGTTTCCTTCAAACAGCTAAGAGCAGAGTTTGATTCAAAGGTCTTTTAGATGCTTGTGTGTTCATATTGATCAATGCTTCTCTGCTGAGGCTTTTGAGCTCTGACCTACAGTAGAGCACAAAGAACCGGTAGTTAAACAGAGAAGACTGACTCCAGATGAAAAGGTAGGAAAACAACACAGAGGAGATCGAAACAAACTTATAAAGGTTTCAGAGTCAAGTAAGATCACAGCTGTATCATATTTGGAACAAGATAGATTTTACATGTTTTTTGTCGCTCCTGGTTTTTATAGATCAGGTCCTAAACTCCCATTTATATTCTTTACTGGTCATTTATATTCTTTACTGTTGTCACCTTATAACAACCAATCTGTGTAACGGTTCATTAGCTGCTGAAGTCCAAAGACTCCACCTCTCTCTCACACCTTATTAAAGGACACACGCTGCAGTCAGCCCCTGCTTTGCTGCAGAAATGTGTGTGCAGCCGCATGGTAAGAGGTTTGAACCTTGTTATAAAAACAGCAAATGGACAAATCCCACTGAGGTGTTGTGTTGACAAACCGTTTCGTGAGGTGAAGACTGATTAAAACATGTTTATTTAAGACATACAGTATGGACCTTGTTTTTCTGGAAGGCAGCTAGTAAAAATGTGTTAAAATTCAAATAGATTATTAAATAAAATGTCATTTTAGGTCCGTTACAAAATACCCAAAATGAAAAAATATACCTAAGTTTTAAAGGATTTAATTGCAACCCGGAAAATTTATATTCCTTAGATTAAATATCAGTTTTTTGGGATGCTAATCATGTCATTCCTTTACAGCAATCAGATACATAAAAGGATGGCCAGAGGGATTGGACATAATTCTGTGTTTTAACTTAGAAGAATGACTATATATTAGGGCCGAAACAATTAATTGGATCAATCGTGATTAATCCACTTTCTTACTGATTTAGTAATCGATTAATCGTTAAATCGAGTATAGCAGCAATTACACAAAAATGGTTTAAAAAACATGTAAACATTTTGTGTTGAACATCAAAAAATGTTTTTGTCAATATTCTCTATCCAGAACTCCTCAAGTGGAAAAGTTTAAGTTTCACCTGGTGTAATTTTGTAAAAAGTCTTCTATAAGGAACATTTTGCAATTCAAATATTAATCGATTTATCTATTTGTAAAATAATCATAAGTTGCAGCCCTACTATACTGTATGTGATAGACTATTTATAGAGGGGCACCAACCTATTAATAATAATAATACATTTTATTTAACAGCGCCTCTTGACACTCAAGGTCACTTTACAGAAAATACATATACATATAAATACATATAAAAGATAAATAACCAGTTGTTTCAGCAATGGTTCTTAATATCCGTCTTTCTCACATTATTTCATAAATTATAAGAAACTTCATCGTTTTTTGGTCAGTAAATAGATCCACCTCTATGATGTCCATAAAACATTGTGTTTTAACAGATAAAAACAGTTAAAGATTAGGGAATTTTTCAAAAATTACACCCAAAAAGAAAAACTTCCCCACATCTGTGTGACTTTGATATTTTTTGGATGTTTGTTAAATTCAGTAATTGATTTAGACAGATCAACAGATTTATCACTGTCCAACAGGAGCTTTCTTTTCCACTGTCACCACATGCATCCTCAGTATCACTGACTATAATGCAAAGTTAATGCAATCAAATGATGTTTCGTTGGTAGAAAGCCCTTTTACAAACTTAAATTTTAAAATGAAATAATATTTTTGTTTTTTAGTATTTGACTAAAACAAACATTTTCACCAAAATTGAATCCGTCTATGGTTTTAATTTTTTTTATTTAACATTCCTGTATGTAAGCTGCATCTGTTTGATATAACACCTTACCTGATATTGATTTGGGATTGGCTCTGATTAATTCAAATGAATAACATAACTGATAGGTTTTCCTATGTTGGACCCATTTTGAAGACAGGCTCAGAGTTACAGATGTTCATATAACCCAATACAAAAAAACAAAAGCTTCTAGGGACAAATTTAAAAGGTATATTATAAAATAAAATGATTCAGGACTTGTGGCACCATTAGGTATTAATTATTATTTTATTATATTATTCAAGAACAAAGAAAAATAAAATACTGCATTCAACAGATAGCGAGTTGATGAGTCACTGCCTTATGAATGCGTCTCCCTTATCTCCTCTCGATCCACTCCAGAATTGACTTTGTGACTCCGTCGCCTTCCCTTTGTCGTCAGTGGAACCATGAACCCATCCAGCTGAGATTCAACAGACTTGCAGACATAATCCTTTTTTAATTACCATCAGAAAGGAGATGGAAATTCCTTCCTGGTCAGCAGACTTAGTATTTCTATAAAGGATTCTCATCTTTAACACGTCATCTTTCTCAACTCTTAACTCTCATCAGTAATTTCTACAAATCATTCATCTTTTAATCATCATTGTTGGAAGGTTCAGAGGTCAAACACCATGAAAGGCGTCCCAGCAGGCAGAGCAATGCTGCCCTCTGTATGAACCCTTCTTCAGTTATACTCTGAAAGTTTCCCTCCTTCTTCTGAGAACCTCTTTACAACAGAACAGAAAAATGAATCATTTGAATCTACATTTGTGAATTGATGATAAGCCTTCCAATTCAACCTATCATCTTTCAAAGGGAGGAGAGAGAAGCTTGTTCAAATAAAGTATCCTGTTGCATCATGATCTACATTTTCTTGGTTTAACTTTAGGCATAGATAAATTTTACCTGATAAATGCAGAAAAAAATGTTAACCAAAGGAAAGAAGGGTCTGATTTAGAGTTAAGAACCATACCACCTGAAACATGCATGCATACTAAAAAAAGTAAGATGTAGTTTTCACACTATTTATGCCATGCTGATGAGGGCAGGGTTAACTTAAAGGAAGCAAGAAAACCAACATACCTGGTAGGCATAATAAAAGCAGCAGAGGTGTCAAGTCACGAAGTACAAATACTTTGTTACTGTGCTTAAATACAATTTTTAGGTATCAATACTTTACTCCATTACTT